AATATAAATATAACGGGTGGAGTAGAATTAATTAAACACGATCAGCAAAGAAGTCCAGTACATCACGGTTTCCCAGTCATAGCCCGTCCCATCTTCGCGCAATTAAACCCACCCGGCGGCAGTGTCCCGATCTTATCCACCGCCTCCGCAAACACCACTCCCATCCCCATATGCATGTGCGGCTCTATGTGACAATGGAACGGCCAAACCCCCGGATTATCCGCCACGAACCTCACCGCCGTCCACCCGAACGGATAAACAACCGTCGTGAACTTCGCTGGCGGATTCTCCAAATTAAACCCTTTCCTATCGTCCTCAGTAAACTTCCCTTCCCCATACCCCATCACCCAGAAGTCGTGCCCGTGCAAGTGCCACGGGTGCGCCTCGCTCTTCCCCACCTGCTTCAGCACGTTCGCGTTCTGCAAGATCACGTCCACCGTCTCGTTGGCCGCGAACGTGTACACCATGTCGCCGGCGGCCACCTCCGTGTTCTGCGGCGGCTTCGTGATGTCGTAAGTCCGGACGTATTCCGGCCAGTCGGGCAGAGTCCGGCGGTCGAACGCGTCCGAGAGGTTGAATTTGATGGCGGCGAGGTAGGGAGTGGTCGGGAGGACGAGAGAGATGTTGTTGAGGGCCCACTNTTTGGGGTCACGTAATACGACTGCGGCCCGGATCCAGTAGTTGTGGGTCGGGTCTTGGTTGGTTCGGAGGAGGACGGAGTAGGTCTCGCCCGGGTAGATGTATAAGCTGGATGTGTTGAAGGGTTGGACGTAGTTGCCGTCGGCTTCCACTACCTCCACCATGTGGTTCTGTCGGTTTTGGGAAAATGTGAGTGGAATGTAATTATGTGATTGAAAATACTGGGGAGAAGTAATTAATTTGGTCTAGTTTTTTAAGTTTTGGAAATAATTAATGTTGTATATAAGTTTGGGGAAGTAAGATATGGTCAATCTGTTCAAAAAGAATAAATTAACAATAATATGCGCTCACACGAACATACATATGCGGAAAAGTTTATACAATAAGCGAATTATGTCTGTGGTCGTGAGTAATGATTTCATTTGACATCTCTAAGATTGGTCATCCATCATATAACAAACCTTTATTTAATCCTTGCAATTTAGACTTTTAGACTTGAATTAGACGACTAGAAAATTGAAGTGAAATTCATTTTCCTCTTTTTTGACACTTCGAATATATAAATAAATGTAATGATTTCATATAAGAAACCTTTATTTAATCCTTGCAATTTAGACTTTTAGACTTGAATTAGACGACTAGGAAATTGAAGTGAATTCATTTTTCTCTTTTTTGACACTTCGAATATATAAATTCCATATTTATATATGTATATATATATATATATATATATTATTTTATCTCCTACATGACGCCTTTCTTTCCTTAGCTGTTTTTCATTTAATAGTTACAAAAACGAATCAAAATAAAATAATGGGCAAAACAAACAATTTTCCCAAAAAGGATTCAAGTATTGCGCGTTAAAATGGCCGAAATTGAAGGGCCACATATAAACGAATCAAAATAAAATAATTGGCTCATTATTATACATTTTTTATCTTTGACCTTACACATAAATTATAAAGTATTGAGCAAGAAGGTAACGGTAGGTTGTTAGCAATTAATTGGATTGGATTTAGAATTAACTTTATATGCTAACGTGATAATAATAAAAATAATGATAAAAAGTAATTCATGTGATGATAGAAGAAAAATTAAGTTTGGTTAATTACCCCAAATGCCAAGTTGAGTGAAGCCAATGAGGTGGCGCTTGCTATCCGGATTCTGTAGGTCTTGTTTGGGTCCACCTTTAAAATGTCTGGCGCGTACGGCTCACTGCCGTTTAGAGTGCAAGCTGTGGTATTGCTTTCATATTTTGCCGCCAAGGAGCAATTGTACTGTCCTCTCCCATTAATTAACAAGCTCTGCGGGCAATAATAATAATAATCCAAATACCAAAGTTTTTAGCAAAATTGAAACTTTTTTCAGTAAATTAAAGAATCTTATTTGAAATAATCTTTGAGAAGAGATATGGCAAAAAAATAGCATTAAAATGTTAGTTTTAATAGTAATACTTTTCTTTAAAAAAAATGGCATTTTATTTTAATGGTACGATATATTCCTGCATGCAGGCCAATTAGAGAAATCATTTGACAATTGTATTTGATTGTATTAGCCATTTTTAGTGACATAATATATAATTGGGGGAGAATTTTTCTAATATATCATATTTTATATTCATCTGAAATAAAAAGCTTCAATTTCATGGTCATTGTTGATAATAAAACCTTCGAGTTTGAAATTATCTGTTGCAATAAATAAGATAGTGGATTTGATATAGTTATTCTTATTAATATTTTCCACATTCAACTACCACATACCAAATAATATATTTAGGATATTAATTTTGACCAAATTTGACATAATTGGTAACTTTTAATTTTTAAGAAAACAATGCTCCAACAAAAATTCCACATAATATTCAGCATTCTTCGCAAGACTTTCAGGGAAATTAAAAAATAACAACAATAATAATAGTCATAACCAATCGTGTCATCTCATGTTGGACTAGGAAAATGAGATGAAGACAACTTTTGATGTCCCTGTATTAGTAAAAAAAAAATTAATCCAGCAAAATCTCTTGTATTTCAAAAAATTGATTGCCTTGTTTTGTTATTTCTTCACGCGTTTGGACAAGAAAAAAACATGCCTTTATTAAGTCACAATGCCAACTTTAATTGCTAATAGGCCCAAAGGGTTTGCCAATTACGAAATTATGGTCCCTCCCCTAATTCAAATTCTATTTTATGAAATAATAATAATAATAATAATAATAATAATAATAATAATAATAATAATAATAATAATAATAATAATAAAATGATGATTTGATTACCTGTGGCTCACCAATCCATTTCATGGGCGTGCTGTCAAGATCAGCCTCCAGTGTTTGGACAGTGTCGTGCCACCAATCACTGAGTAACAGATTGAACTCCCCATCGTATTGGATTTTTTCTTCCTGTCCTTGTGCCACGTCAACTATCAGCATGCCGTACAACCCGGCCGTTCTTTGCATCCTGTAGTGTCCATGGTAAAAGTATGTACCCGGCTACACCATATAATTAATTAACGTCAGGCCTGGATATAATTAATTAGTACCATTCATATATGCTTGTGTGTTATGTGTTTGCCTATGAGCTCAACGTGAAAATCGTAGCTTTCTTGGTGTGGGGTAGGAATAGTAATTTCCACTGTTATTGTATTATATTGTCTTATCCAAGATCGAATAAACTTTCAATACCGTATTTTTATGTTATTTATTTTATTCGATCTTAGATATAACTAGAACGTACATAGAGATATTAAATGAGTTATCTTCACATTTTTTGTCCGTTTAAATCTAAAAAATAATAGGGTTATTATCTATTTTCTACTTCTTTTAATCAACGTTAAGTCTAAAAAACAATAGGTTTATTATAAGTTGTTTTTCACATCTTTTAATCAGCGTTGTTTTTTTAGCCAGAACATTAAATATGAGCATGTTAAGGCTAGCTTGTAAAATAATTAATATATTATCTCACTAAAATATTTATCTTAATAAAAATTTAATTTTAGCATATAAATTTATCCCTTGATATAAGAGAAAGTAACAGTTTTACTTATTGTTATTCACTATATTATATTTAATTATTATTTTATTATATAATAAAAAAATACTGTTAAATAGTGTAGTAGAATTGTTATAAATTATACGAATTATTTATTTTACAATATGGATTTAATATCTTTTTATGATTTGATAATATAATTATAATATATTCTTAATGATATAATAATATGAGACACGGGTTTACATAATACTATGGATTTATTCCTTAATGTTAAGATATTGAATTAGATAATATATGATTCACTAATTTGTAATCTGTCTCTTTTTATATTGAAAATAATTATGTGATTGAGTAGAGATAACAATTATCTATAAATTCCTTCATTTAAGTAATAATTTTTAAATTGGTTCAAGTGTTGAATGCAGTCCGATTTTCTTATAACTAAAATGAGAAGAGATTTTGAATTTCAAATTTTCACTTCAAAACTACACATAAATTTGGATGCATAATGCTACCCTATTTTATGATTTAAAATATCTAAACTTTTCTAAATATGATGTGCAATTAATTATGAGTTGACTTTTCTTCCTACTAATTCTAGTAAATAGGATGTCTTTTTATATAAGTATAGATCATAAGTACATGTTTAATTGATTGAATTTTTATTTTGTGCTATCGTGACGTATTCCAGGTCAAGTAATAAAGCGTCGTTTGTCTCCTTAATAGAATTTTCTAATCATGTTTCATCTCATGTTCATGAACAATATGATATATATATATATATATATATATATATATATTATAAAGATGCGACCTAAGAAGACAAAATAGGATTATTTCCGAAATTTCATATGTACAAATTATAATAATAGGTAGCTAAAGCGAACCTTGTCAGCTAGAAACTCGTAAACAAAACTTTCTCCCGGCATAATGGGACACTGTGAGATAGACGCTGCCCCATCTGCCCACGGCGTTCCTAACTGAGAAATGAAAAATTACCTATGAATGTTTATTCAACAGACATGCAAAATACGGGACAAACATTATAGAATATATAAATCATATCCCATAACTTTTGAATTGTTGAAAAAATTTCGAACTAATCAGAAATCTTAAACGTTTTGCTAAAACATACGAGTATGTGGATACATTTATTATTAAATCAATCCCACTTTTTTTAGTTTTTTTTTTTTTCTTCACTTTCCAAAATAAAAAGTAGGCACAATGTTAATTTCAATGAAATATAGTTATTTTGCCTTGTGGAGTGACACGTACAAATATCCTTACTACCAAAAATCGTTTCTAGGGAATCTTAGACTCCAGAAGTGGCTTCTAAAATGTCTAAAAGCTATTTTTAATGTCTCAAATTTCACATAAATTATTTCTGATAGTAAACGTAATTGTGTCACTTCACAAGGTAAAATGACTATATTTCATACTTTCACAAAAAATGGTTATATTTCATCCTGTAAAATAATAACATTATTTAGTTGTTATTTTGGGACATATATATCCATCCCAAACTAGTGGGTCTATTTTATACATAATTTTGGCAAAATAAAAAACAAGAAGGCCTTATGTATCTAGAAAAGAGAACTAATAACCTGTCTGATCCCATGCCAATGAATGACAACCCCTTCGGTCTTGGTCGAAATCCCGTTGGTGAGATTAACTCGAACGGTTTCTCCAGCCCGAACGCGTATTTCTGGGCCAGGAAACTGGCCATTGATGGCCATGACAACACCTTCCACTCCGTCTGGATTGCCTTTAATATAATCCACGGTCCAACTAAAGTCCTTACAATGCACCAACATCATCGACACCAAAATGAAACATGAAACTATCAGAAACCTCAGCAGAAGCCGGGGGTCGTTGGTCAACGGTCCCATGGTTGACTCGGATTGATCTATCTGTACAAAAGAGATAGAGAGAGACAGAGGGAGTTGGAAGGGATTGAGATGAGGCTGTGTACATGTATATGGCTTTATATAATTTGGGAAAATTCCATAGTAGTTCATGAGTGGTCAATGGAAACCTTTTAAGTCCTAACACATTGACAATCAGCACTGAACGTACACAATAGTCACGGGCTCACGCGGCATCGGCCCCTTGAATTTTAATAAACAATCGGACAGTCAATGTTATTGACTGGGAGTGAATAATTGATATCTATATCTATATAAATACTAGCTAATAGCATTCAAGAAAACCTATTTAATAAAATTTTTAAAATTTTTCCTCCATTTTCGGTTACAAAATTTATCATTAATGTTGTTTACTTCTCACATTAATACATCCAATTGAGTGTAATCATGTATTTTTCTATTATATTATATAATAATCTATAGTAATATAAAGAGGTTGTTGGAAAAATATAAAAATAGTAAGGTTGACCTAAAAAATAATGTTTTGACTTACTATTAATGAAAAGTTAAAAAAATACATGTGAATCTTTAGTAACAAAATCTGAATCCTATTTTTTTGGTAACTAATTTAGAGATTCTTATGGCAAAATTTGAATTCTATTTTTTCGTATTATATTTTATTTTTTTTACTAATATTTAAATCATATATTTTTTGGTTACAAATTTGGAGATTCTTATGCAAAAAATGTGTCAATTATTTATAAAAAAAATTCTAAATACAAATTAACTTAAAAACCGCACAAATTGGATATAAATTTTGGAAACAAATAGTTGTATAATTCTTAACCAATTCTTCCAATCTTATTGAATAATTTTTTTCTTTACAAAAAAGTGAGTAAATTGGATAAAACCACGTGCAATTTTTATTTTAGAATAAAACTTATATTTGGATAGGATGTAAATTCAAAATTGTGTCCACATTTTTTGGTAACAAAAGTTGTTCATCTTTGATATATAAAAATTAAAAAAATCTTAAAATATCCTTAAATATTTAACTTATTTGAGATCAAGATTTGTTAGGTCTTTTTAAGATTAGTTATGATTTAAAAGAAAAAAAAAATTATACAAAATTTGTTAGGTCTCACATTCACACTTAAGATTTCATAGTATTCCTCTAAAATTTGATCATCTTAAAAGTCTCAAATCTTAAAAAATCTCAAAGTGACACTCAAAATTCTAAACGAATACATATTATTTAATATTATTTACCCGTGCATCGCACGGGCCACATACTAGTATATATAATAAGAATTAACATTTACCAAAAATAGTAGCAAAAACATAGGTCAGAATTTAATGCAGCCTATATATAGTAAGTTTTATTACTTTTCTTATTTTTTTCTTTAAAAATCATACATCATTAAATGTACCTTAAATTTCGGGCTTTAGTTCATTTTATTATTTAAAATATCCGGCTAAGATTTATTAAGTGTGTATGTTTTTATTTTTATTCTTTAAATTGCATAATCAATCAGTTAATCTTAATTTTTTGAAAATTACGATGTTTATTTTTTATTAATATGCATAAAGTAAAAATAATTAATTCATCTTTAAATATATAATTTATAATCTTAATATACTTCATTTCGTGTAGACATTTATTATATGAATCATAAAATACTTTTATTTCATAAAATTAAATATATTTAAAGAAAATAAGAAAATTTCTTCGGATCAATCGGGTGATTGAATTAGGGTACTGCCCATGTTGATTGAATTACTTTAGGTGATATTTAAAATAGTCAAAAAACTTGACACAAGTAGGTTGGTCACAAGTGACTAAGTTATGTATCAGTTCGACCACACCAAATCGACTATTGAACCTAATATAAATTTTATATTGAAAATATGTTATTACGTGAATGTTATGTAGTCCAAATTTTAAATAATCGTATTAACAATTCTTTTATGACAACATGTTTAATGATTTAAGAATATTTATACATCATTTTATTAATATTTATGTGAATTAAATAATATTTTATTATAATATTTATTAATGTACAGTAAATATAAGGTTTTTAGAACTGAACCGTCATCGAAATGATCAAGCTATTTTATTAAATCATTTGTGGTTTGTTCAGATTTTAATTTATAAACATTTTAATATATATATATAGTACTTTTGTAATAAATTTACATAAAATGTGTTACTAAGATATCTAAACAATTTATAAATTCAAATGTTTAAACTAACTGATAAATAATTTATAAATCTTTATTTTATTTAAATATTAATTTCATTTAAATATGTAATTTTATTTAAAATAATTTTAATATAACAAAATTTATTTAGAAAATCGTGTTGATCCTACCAGTCCAACCGACTGGTGTTGACGGATTCGAGAGTAAATATTTTATTCAAGCAAACTAGACTGGTTATAAACCGATTCTTGGTCCATCCGGTCGGACTATGTCCAAACCAGTTTAATTTTAAAAACAATGAATAAATTATGATTAACGTTATTTATATATTAAATTTATAATATAATCATAAATATTGTTTTCCCGTGCATCGCACGGGCCACGCACTAGTTAATGTTAATACCAACTAATAATAATTCACAATAAATAGAAATTGCATAATTATAAAAAATTGTTTCAAGTTATTTATTTTAACATCAATATTATCTTTTTTTTGTATCTCATGAAAAAATTTCTTTAAAAACAATTAGTAAATTGTTTTAATAGCATAGTCAAATAACTTTAGAATCTTATAAACAATTGTTTTTGTAATAATAATAATAATAATAATAATAATAATAATAATAATAATAAAACTGCTATTATCTAATGATAATTAATAATTGTTCATAATAATAAAAAATCATTAATTTATTTTTCCTAATGATTAAATTTTAAAAATGTAATATTTTCATTATCTAAAATTTTAATATAAAATTCTCAAATATTACTTATTAAATTTTATGTACATCTGTGCATGTGCACAGGATATTTACTAGTTATATTAACAGTTTTGTTATAGAGTCATTGGATGACATAACTTATGGAATCATCCACATTTATTGATTATGAGTTCTAGAAGCATTTATGGAATGCCAAATTTGTAGAAATGGTTTCTGATAGTAATTGTGTCATTGCATAGGCCAAAATAGTTATTATTTCATACTTGTACAAAAATTGGTTATATTTCATCTTTGTATTTGTTGCTTGACTATAAAACCAAGGGTCAAAAAATTATCTCAATCGGAAAAACATGTTGGACTCAGATGCACAAATGCGGAAGATGTAAATTAAAACACCAACGTGAAATGGTGAATAAAAAAAATTCTTGCAATCAAGCAGGAATAATTCTTTTCTGATGTGGAAGATCAGATTAAACTGCAACCACAGAGCATACTAAGAATATCCCGAATAAATAAAATATGCAAGAAATAAGACACCAAGATTTAACGTGGAAAAACCTCCAATGTAGAGGAAAAAACCACAGGACAATCTCCGAACAATTCCACTATATTTTCAAGATAATTACAATATCTTTTCACACTCCCCTACACTAGAAATGTAAAATATAGTGACCCAGTGAGACCCCACTCCTATTTTTGATATTACAAACAAGGAGTAATAGAGATGATACCCGACCCGGTGTATTTTTCCCACACTCAAAGGATTTACTCAAACACTCTATTTTTATCTCACTGAAAAATAACACTCGCAGAAACTAGATGTTATTTCTGCTCTCTTTTTCTTCTCTTGCTCTTTGGTGCATCTTCTTCTGCTGAAGACCCTTCTATTTATAGATACTGAATGCATGTGTGAACAAAAAAAAAAATTCGGCTAACACCTTCCTCTTTCTTTCTTTATTTTTCTTTATTTTTTTTATTTTATTTTTTTCACCGAAAGTTGCTTTGGCTTTTATTGTTGACTACTTGGCTGGATCCCACAATTCTCCCCCTCCAGCCAAAGGGTAATACACTGCAAATCTTCACATGCACTCTATGTCGATCATCTCGGCACAAAGCTGAAGCTTTCCTCCTGTTACAACTTTCGTCATCATGTCAGCAGGATTTTCGTCAGTGTGAATCTTTTCCAGTTTGAACTGTTGTTCTTCCACTGCTTGACGTAGCCAATGATATCTGACATCAATGTGCTTCGTGCGAGAGTGGTACATCGCATTCTTACTTAAATCCAATGCGCTCTGACTATCGCAATGGATATCGTACCTTTCCTGCTTCATTCCCAATTGTTGAAGAAACCTCTTCAACCAAAGCATTTCTTTTCCTGCTTCTGCCAGTGCAATATACTCGGCTTCAGTAGTCGACAAGGCAACAGATTTCTGCAATTTAGATTGCCAAGATACAGCTCCTCCTGCAAATGTAAACACAAGCCCTGAAGTAGATTTTCTACTATCCAGGTCACCAGCCATATCCGCATCTGTATAACCCTCAAGAACTGGGTTTCCTTTACCGAAGCTCAAGCATTTATTTGCACTACCTTTTAGGTACCTCAAGATCCACTTCACAGCTTCCCAGTGATCCTTACCAGGATTGGAAAGATACCTGCTAACAACTCCAACCGCGTGAGCGATATCTGGTCTAGTACAAACCATGGCATACATCAAACATCCGACTGCCGAGGAGTATGGAACGGCCGCCATAGCTTCTTTTTCTTCTTGGCTCGTAGGACAACTTCGTTTGCTGAGCTTGAAATGATTGGCCAACGGCGTACTGACTGGCTTAGCCGTTTTCATGTTGAATCTCTCCAGAATCCGATTCACATACCGTTCTTGCGATAACCATAATCTCCTCGATTTTCGGTTTCGCATGATCTGCATGCCCAAAATTTGTTTCGCAGGGCCTAGATCCTTCATTTCAAAGGACTTTGCTAAATCCTTCTTCAAATCAACAATCAGCTTCATGTCTTGTCCCACAATCAACATATCATCTACATATAACAAAAGGATAATGAATTTATCACCTGGAAATTTCTTAACGAACACACAGTGATCTGCATCAGTCTTGGTATATCCATGGCTCACCATAAACGAGTCAAATTTTTTTGTACCACTGTTGTGGAGCTTGTTTCAATCCATACAAGCTCTTCTTCAATCTGCAAACCATGTGCTCCTTTCCAGTCTTCTCAAATCCTTCTGGTTGCTTCATGTAGATTTCTTCATCTAGGTCTCCATGAAGAAATGCAGTCTTCACATCTAGTTGTTCAAGCTCCAGATCCAAGCTAGCCACAAGTCCGAGTATTACTAGAATAGAGCTCATCTTTACAACCGGTGAGAAAATTTTATCAAAATCTATCCCTCGCTTTTGTCCGAATCCTTTCACGACTAAGCGAGCCTTGTACTTCAACAGCTTGTCACCATCTTTCTTAAGCTTGAACACCCATTTGTTTTTCAAGGCTTTTCTGCCTTCTGGAAGTTTCACAAGCTCATAAGCTTCATTTTTCACCAGTGAATCCATTTCTTCTTGCATAGCTTTCATCCACTGGGATTTATCCTTATGAGTTTGTACTTCTTCAAAGCTTTCTGGCTCCCCCTCTTCAGTGATGGTAATATACGTGGAACTAGGATACCTCGTAGATGGTTGGATCGCTCGATTTGATCTTCTGAGCTGAGGCGGAGCTTCGAGGTCTTCTTGCTCGACACCTTCACTATCACCATCTTCAATTGCTGGTTCATCATCAACCCTGAGTTCTCCATCACACTCTCCCCCTACTGTGGCATCTCTAGGATGTTGAACAGGTGAAAGGTCCACCTTACCACCTGGTTCTCTGATTTCTGGTGAAGCAGAATCAGACATAGTTTCTTGTTCATGGAATACTACATCTCTACTTCTGACAATTTTTCGTTTTTCTGGATCCCATAACCTGTAGCCAAATTCCTCATCTCCATAGCCCAAAAATATACAAAGAATGGCTCTATCATCAAGTTTTCGTCTCTGTTCCTTGCTTACGTGAGCAAAAGCTTTGCATCCAAATACCTTCAAATGAGAGTATTTAACATCATGTCTGGACCATACTCTCTCAGGGATATCAAAGCCCAAAGGAACAGATGGAGATCGGTTGATCAGGTAGCACGCCGTTAGAACAGCTTCACCCCAGAATGGCTTAGGTAACTTAGCCATTCTTAACATACACCTCACTTTCTCCATAATGGTTCTATTGATTCTTTCAGCCACACCATTATGTTGTGGGGTTCCAGGTACAGTCTTCTCATGTCTGATTTCATAATCAACACAATAATTCTTGAATTCATGGGAAGTATATTCCCCTCCATTATCTGAGCGAAGACACTTCAAACGTTTACCAGTTTGTCTCTCCACCATAGCGTGAAACCTTTTGAAGTACTGAAAAACTTCGTCCTTCGTTCTCAAGAAATACACCCACAATTTTTGTGAAGCATCATCAATAAACGTCACGAATTATTTGCTACCACCGAGACTCTCCTCTTCCATGGGTCCACATACATCAGAATACACCATCTCCAATACATTCTCTTTCAGCTTCGAGGTTTTGCTGAAAGACACTCTATGATGCTTCCCAAAGAGACAATGATCACAAGGATTTAGTTTTGAATCTTTGACAAACGGGATGAGGGACTTTCTTGCCAAAATTTGCAATCCTTTTTCACCAATGTGAGCCAGTCTTTTGTGCCACAAATTTGGCGAAGCATCATCTTCGACTGCATTCAGGCCACCTTTGATCAACTTCACTTGAGTTCTGTACAGTGTCGATCTCACTGTACCTTTAGCAGCTAACAATGATCCTTTGATAAGCCTCCATGTGCCGCTACCAAAATTGTTAGTGTAGCCTGCTAGATCCAATGCATGCACAGAGATCAGATTCAGACGTAAGTCAGGTACATGTCGCACGTCCTTTAGTGTTATTGTGCACCCAATATCAGTTTGAATGCACACATCACCAACTCCCACAATATTTGCAATGCTGTCGTTGCCCATCTTTACTCTACCAAAGTCTCCTTCTTTGTATAGAGAAAAGAATTCCTTGTGAGAGGTTGCATGGTATGATGCTGCTGAGTCAATAACCCATTCAACACATGAATCTGCAACATGGCACTCTTCTTCCTCAACAGAGAGCAACACCACTTCCCCATTGATCACAGGGGTTGCGGTATTTTCATCGTTCTCTGATTTGTTGTTCCTCTGATCTCTATTCTTCCAGGCTTTACAGTTTCTTTTGATATGCCCTTCTTCACCGCAGTGATAACACTTGAATTTTCTCCTGGGTTGAGATTGTGATTTCTCTCTGACTTTGTTATTCCGGCCTCTGCTTTTACTTCTTCCCCTGGTTTCTGTGACCAGGGCTTGGGAGCTGCTTGCTCCTGAATCTTTTCTTCTTGTTTTTTCATTAAACATACTGTCTTTGACTTGGGTTAAAGTCAGTTTTCCTTCAGGAGCAGAGTTGCTCAACGAGACCACCAATGTCTCCCAGCTATCCGGTAAAGAACTCAAAAGTAACAGCGCCTGCAGTTCTTCATCAAGTTTCATCTCCATGGTAACAAGCTGGTTTACCATGTCTTGAAACTCATTCAAGTGTTCTGCAATTGATCTTCCATCCCGATATTTTAAATTCACAAGCTTTCTAATAATAAAAGCTTTATTTTGTGCAGTCTTCCTTTGATACATCTGCTCAATTTTGTTCCACAGAGTATGGGCTTTTTGACTCTGTGGAAACATGATGGAATATGCTGATATCCACCGACTGTCTGATTAAACTAACAGCCTTCCTGTGTAATTTTTTCCAATCGTCATCCTTCACGTCATCTGGCTTGTTATCTCCCTTTTCTACAGGATCATACAGATCTTTGTAGAAAAGTATGTCCTCCATTTTTGGCTTCCAAATGGAGTAATTTGTTGTTGTCAGCTTCACCATGGTACCCACGTTCTCCTCCATTTAATTTACACGGGTTGATTCAGAACCCAACTTGGGCTCTGATACCACTTAGTGGGGTCAGATGCACAAATGCGGAAGATGTAAATTAAAACACCAACGTGAAATGGTGAATAAAAAAAATTCTTGCAATCAAGCAGGAATAATTCTTTTCTGATGTGGAAGATCAGATTAAACTGCAACCACAGAGCATACTAAGAATATCCCGAATAAATAAAATATGCAAGAAATAAGACACCAAGATTTAACGTGGAAAAACCTCCAATGTAGAGGAAAAAACCACGGGACAATCTCCGAACAATTCCACTATATTTTCAAGATAATTACAATATCTTTTCACACTCCCCTACACTAGAAATGTAAAATATAGTGACCCAGTGAGACCCCACTCCTATTTTTGATATTACAAACAAGGAGTAATAGAGATGATACCCGACCCGGTGTATTTTTCCCACACTCAAAGGATTTACTCAAACACTCTATTTTTATCTCACTGAAAAATAACACTCGCAGAAACTAGATGTTATTTCTGCTCTCTTTTTCTTCTCTTGCTCTTTGGTGCATCTTCTTCTGCTGAAGACCCTTCTATTTATAGATACTGAATGCATGTGTGAACAAAAAAAAAAATTCGGCTAACACCTTCCTCTTTCTTTCTTTATTTTTCTTTATTTTTTTTATTTTATTTTTTTCACCGAAAGTTGCTTTGGCTTTTATTGTTGACTACTTGGCTGGATCCCACAAAATAATGGGGAAAAAAAAACATCTATCCCATTAATATAACAAAAATTCGTTAGTTATTCTTAGTACAATTTCTAATAAATGGTTTCTAACCATTAAATGGTTTCTAACTAATCGAGCCCATTACTGGTTTGAAATATGTCAATGTATCGATCTTTCAATGTGGGCTTAAATCTTTTCATTGTGATTTTTATTATTGTAATCTGTCAATGTAACCTTTTTTTTTTTTTAATTATCAGGTCCCGTCACTTCTCCAGTCATTGTTAAGAGTGGTGCCAACTATATATCTCTGTCCAATTTAAAGGCAACAGTCAACCATGGCTCTTCAAGTGCTGGAAGAGTGGTATCAAGTAGCAAAGAAAGAAACAGAACTACATGTTTGCAGTCACCTATGGATTTGTGCAAAATTTTGTGTAATTGATGTGGTTATAAGTTGTTGATAAACAGAGTTGAAAGTTATATGTTTGCAGAATGGATGTTAGATGATTGTAGAACATGTTATGGACATTTAATGTTTGCAGCTGGGATGTTTGATGATTGGCAGCAGTTAATTTTTTTAATGGTTACAGAGTTGGATGTTTAGTGGTTAGCTATTGAGAAGAGTAATATTTTGGCCTTTTATACTAACATTTAACCTGTTTTACCCTGCAGTTAGCCGCCAGACAAAGGCGGTGTTGATACACAATTTTGGCCTCTACTATTAAAATATTACACGTGAATATGTATTAAATTAATTTTTTATTTTATGGCAAAAAATAACACTGCTTGTGATAATATCAGACCCATTAAACACACACACATATATATATATACCCCGATGATGGACATCATCGAGATAAGTCTGAGGGGCCATTACTTTTCTTTTCCTTATCTGTACAAAAACAGAGGCGGTGCAAAGCTTCGGGGGGATCTTCTTCAATCTTTTACACCATAATTACAGAGGAAATTCACAAATATTCAATATATTCAATATGTATCTTTCTCTGCAATTCACATGAGTTCATCGGGAGGGGACTGCTTTATTATGCATAATTAGTTATAAATTTAATATAAATATAAATAAAATAATTTAAGTTTCTTACCTGCTTCTTAAAGTTGTCGACTAAGTGTCTCAAACAATAAGCATGATGCTGCCAGGAAAAACCATAGGATGGCTTTAAGTAGTCCACTGTGTCGGTCCGTAAAAAATGTGAAGATTCTAGAAACAGATAAGCGCGAGGAAAGAAAACTACTATTCAGCTTCAAGCTAAACCACTCTCAATTTTCATCGGTCACATCAACCACGACAAATGCTATAGTGAACAAATCGTCATTGGCATCCTTACTCACAGCACTAAGCAAAACGCCTTTGTATTTATTTTTTATGTAGGTTCCATCCAGAAATACCAACGGTCGACAACCAGTTAAAAAACCGACAAGGCAAACATTAAAGCAGATGAACCAATCTCACAATCAGCAATGCTTCCAGGGTTTCTCTCACGCACTGCACTACAATACCATCTCAATCTATCGTAAGATCCCCTGTCTGCTCCATGAATATCTTGCATGGCAAGTTCCTTCCCTAACCATGCCTTTTTGTAGGGCAACTCCAAGCCATAGTCCCTGTGAATATCTTTCAATATCGTGCAAGGCTTGTAATTCGGTTCTTCTCCCAGTTTGTCTTTGATTGTACTTGACACCCAAATGAAGTCTGCTTTCGGATGCCCCCTTGTCCGAAGATTGGATACTCCAGAAGTATGGACGAGATTGCATTTCCGGATGGCAAACTGCTGATCACCTTTGTATAACGATGCATATATTCTCCATTCACAATCCGCATCGCTACAACAAACGATGATCTTTTGCTTGTCATTTTTTCGATACTTAAAAGACCGCTTATTTGCAATCGCGTAGTTTTTGACACTCTTTTGAAATTCGTCGGCCCCACTGAATAACTGCCCCTCTCCTTTGATGCAAAGTCTCCAAGAATCGATCGATTTATCTTGCAACAACTCATGTTCTCCCTCCGATAAATCATCAGACTGTACGATTTCCCTGCGTTCATGACAAAATAATACAAAGATTTCTAAATAATAGAACTAGTTAAAAAATTAATGAACTAGGATATGATACGACTATACCATATTCCATAATAAAATCATTAATATTATGAACGCAACATTACCTGCTCATGTTCATCGGGAAGGACATGTTCATCGGGAAGGATTGAACTCCATCATCCGGTCTTTCATTTCTTTCAATGGCAATTATCTCTACAATATTTACTTTCCAACAAACATGTAATCGAATCATGTTCTTCACATCCTCATCATCCGACAAACTAACTCTCTTTTTTTCCTTTCGCGCAATATAGCATAGCACGACGAATTCGAAATTAACGTTCGACCACCTCTTTGATATGAGAGTGTACACTATACGCACTACGTCAAGCGTTGATCCAATGTGCATAGAGAACACAAACACTTCATTCTTGTACGTACAACTCCCAAACACTTCATTCTTTGTGCCCCTTCCATGTATCTAACAATAATTTGATAAATAAAAAAAAAATCACATTTCTCAGAAAATATGGTACCAAACAGTAATTAAAAACCTTCCCCGGTAACGGCGCCAATTTGTTGTAGTTATTTTTACCGGAGTAGAATCAAAAGATTCGACATCGGGTCGTGTCTCTCGAGGAAGGTCAGCAGGACTTATTTTGTGAGCCTATTCATTTTGTTTTTAGTATTTCTCTTATTTTTGTGATTTCTTATTTTGTGTGTTTCTCTTTGTTTCGTTTTTCTTGTTTTGTTTTTCTTTGTCTATTTCTTATCTATCTGGTGCCCGTAACGTTTTTGTTGTTTTTGTGTTTATGCGTACCAAGAGTGGTCGTGTAATCATCCCAAACAACGAATCCATCCAGAGGGACCTCCAAGAATTGTTGGCTAACCTTGCCCCTGCATCTTCAGACTCAGCCAACCGAGACTCAGATAGCCAAGGAGACATGGCTGACGAGGAAGTGAACAACCCCCCTCGTCATCTTCTTCGTGAGTTGGCTCAACCGATAATCGGGCCAGTAACTTCGTGTATCCGGCTGGGACAAGCAGCTCGGAATTATGAGCTAAAAACCATCCATTACAATCAGCTACCGTCCTTCCACGATTTACCGAACGAGGACCCGCTTCATTTCATCCGGGAGTTCTACAATGTCCTCCAGACTTTTCCACTCCACAACTTAAATGAGGACCAGCTGAAGATGAGGTGTTTCCCTGAGACACTCAAGGACCGAGCTAGGGCTTGGTTTATGACACTTGCTCCCGACTCCCTCATCACTTGAGAGCAAGTGTACACCAAGTTCATTGGGAAATACTACTCTCATCAAAAGATCCAGGAATTTCGGTCCCAAATTGTTTCTTTTGCCCAACAACCAAACGAGCCACTTCATGAGGCGTGGGAGCGCTTCAAAGACCTCCAGAGGCAGTGCCCACATCACAATTTCCCTCCGGCTCTACTGGTGAATAGTTTCTATGATTCCCTCCATCAGAATCTTCAATACATGGTGGATAATGCAGCTGGTGGAGATATTGGGGCAAAGACGGCAGAAGAGATGATAGATATTTTTGAGGCGATGAGTTCTAACTCGTCTCAAAAGAGCAGTCGAGGGAAGAGGACTTTTGTCAATGAAGTATCTCCCGGGCGGGACATGATGGCACAACAGCTAGCTGAGCTCACGGAGCAGATGCGGCTACTGAACGCAAGGGGAGGCCAACCAATGCAGACCATGGTCGTAGAAGCGTGTGGAGCATGTGGAGTACAAGGGCACAGGTCGGAGCTGTGTCCATCAGCTTTCGATCAAGACTGTGGTGAACAATATGAAGATGTGAACGCTCTTCAAGGCTACCAGAACCGGCCTGCCAACGACCCATACTCCAACACGTATAACCCGGGGTGGAGAAATCATCCGAATCTCTCGTGGTCTAACAACAACAACGTCCAGCAGCCTCCTCGACAGAACTTCATGCAGCAGCAACCCCGCCCCACTTTCATTCCCCAACAGCAGATGAGGCAAAACTATCCTCAGCAGCAACATCAACATTCAAATTAACCCAAGCCATCATCATCAACAAGCAATTGTGAAAAAAGACTTACGATTAATAGTGAGAATCCCAATGTCAAATCCAAGTAAACAATCCAAATCCAAAGCGAAGAAAGTAGGAGTTTTTCAATCTCCAAAACAGATCAAAAGTGCAAAAGAAAGAAAAGGAATAGGTTTTTCTCCAGAAAGAACGTAAAAACAAAGTCTGAAAAATGAATCCTCCACCCTAGGATCGAAATCAGCATTAAAAATCCCGTCCTCGAAATTCGCACCGGTTAAGTCGCGAGTCGCGAGTCGCGAGATGGTCTTGTCTCGGGTTGCGAGTCGCACGTCGTCATTTTCTTATTACTCTGGGGTTGGTCGCGACATAGGTCGCGAGTCGCGACTCAGTCTCGCGAGTCGCGACATCATCTCGCGAGGCGCGACATTGTCTCGCAACTGCCTTTTAGCCCCAGTTTTTCTCGCAGGTCGTGACAAGTTCGCGAGTCGCGAGTCGCCTCGCAAGTCGCGAGAATTTCTGGGCGCGTTTTCTGTCCGTTTTTTAGTCCTCTTCGTCGTCCTCTGGGCTCGGCCACGGGAATTCTCGATATCACAGTCTCGGCACACGCAATCCTAACCTCGACCGGCACCACCTACCTCCTGAAAACACAAACACGGAAAAACACGAAGCAAAACACGGCAAAAAGATACAAAAATATAAACTAAGGGCAAAAACACAAAACGAATGAAATGGACCAAATAAGCGACGAAAAACCTACAAATGGAGGAAAACAAAAAGAAAATAAACATGAAATAAAGACACAAAAATAAACATGAAATAAACACTGCCGGAGTTCTTCTCACCGAAGTTGGTATCGCCGGAGAGACCAACCTGCAAATAAATAAATAAATAAATAAAGCAGTCGCCGGAGGAAGGGAAATGGGAGTGTGGGGAAGAAGATTGAACAAATAAATAAAATATTATTATGTGCAATGGTATGTATAAGAGAAAAGTAATAAAATAATATGTTATGTTGGTTGTAGTGGGATGATGTAATAAGTTATTTTATTTTTGATTTATTTTAAAACTAGGGAGTTAAGTAGAAGAAGTTTATGGGAGTAGGGAGTGTAGAGGAAAAAAATTAAAGTAGAAACTGAAGAAAAGATTAAAAGTGCTTAGGGATTTTTAAGGAAGTTCCCTTTCAACATTGATCTAAAGCAATTCAATAAAAACAAATGAATACTACTGTTACGTGTCATGCCTGGTCATTTATTTTCTTTTTTACTTCACTCATGGGTTTCTTAGAGTTAATAATAATGTTAATCACCCTATAACCATGCCATTGATTTTACTCAATTGCTATTCACCGCCCCTTTTACTAGTCACTGCTCCCTCCCCCTCCATTTACTCTTTTGCCCTTAACCCTTTCTCTTTAAACTTTATATCTCTCTAAATTCCCGAACATTCAACGAACGATTCGAGCATCGAAAAAAATCCGAAAAAATGTCGAAAAAATCCTACGGCATCGGCAAAGC